TTCTAACTTGTTATGTTCATGAGGTGGAAGAAGAACAAAACATGCACAACCAAAAACCTTAAGAAGATTATAAGCAGGAAGAATACCATGTAGACGCTCATATGGAGACTGGTTATTAAGGACTGATGATGGAATGCAATTAATAAGATAAGCAATTTTAAGAGCAGCCTCACACCAAAATCGCTCTGGACAAGAAGATGAAATGAGGAGAGCACGAACAAAATCAAGGATGTGTCTGTGTTTGTGTTCGGCTCGCCCATTTTGTTCAGAAGTATAAGGACAAGATTGTTGTGGCAGTGTACACTGTTGTTTCAAAAAGGATTGAAGTTTAGTACCAAGATATTCAGTAGCATTATCAGTTCTCAAAACTTTGATAATTTTAGAGAACTAGGTTTTGACCATGGTAGCGAAATCAATATAATTTGTGATAATTCAGAGTGACTTTTTATAAGGTATATCCAGGTAAAACGAATATGATGATCAATAAATAACACGAAGTACCTGGAACCCCCCATGGTGGGTGTAGGAGATGGACCCCAAACATCAGAATGCACAAGATCAAAAGGAGCAGTAGAATGAGAATGACTACTTGAAAAAGATAAAACTGGTTGCTTTGCAGATTGACATGACACACAATGCACAAATTCATTCGGAACTGATCCTAATAAACCATGAGAGATAAGTGGACGAAGTTTACCGACTGAGGTATGTCTGAGTCGTGAATGCCACAAATGGAGAGGAGAAATGTTAGTAACAGCACAAACTTGGAAGATTTGTTGATATGGAATTTGCAAAGACTCTAATTCAATAGCACAAAGCAGGGTTTGGATGAATCGATCATTTGGAAATGATGGTGTATCCATTTTATTATCAAGAATATGCAAATAGTTGAGCTCAAACAAACACCCCACCTTGTGACCAGTTCCAAGAAGTTGTCCTGTCCGTGAGTCCTACACACGACAACCATGAGTAGAAAATGTTACTTCAAGACCAAGATCACATAATTGACTGACAGATAGAATATTATAACTAAATTTTGGAACTAAAAGGGCATTTGGTAAAGTCAATGACTTTGTAGAAACATTACCAATGTGACTAACATTCATAGGGGAACCATCAGCCGAATAAATATCAGGAAATGAATTATTAGGCGACATTGAAGAGAAATGAGTAGTAATTGAAGACATATGGTTACAACAACCAGAATTGTTTGCTGATGAAATGAATCCCGATCAATCTATACTCGCTTAGCATTTTTTTTTTCTAAAAAAAGATAATTTTCTTATTTC